CTTGGTTAATGTAATTGACATCATCATGTCATTGTCGTCCATGACTCCAACATTCGAGTCATTCATGGCCTTCTTGTCCTGATGTGATAATCACCCAGGCCAGGATTATTGAGTTCCCCGACCAGGGAATTTGAGAGATGACCAGGGATTAGTAATAGAAGGCCCCCCGATCAGTTGCCCTTAAATCCCCGGCCGAGGAATTTGAGACCAGGTTTCAGGGCTGGACAAGTTCAAGCTTCCTTTTCAGTTTAGGATTTTGTTTATTTTTGGATTTTTGGTTATTTTATTTGCCATGGACTATATAAAGGGCTTAAGACACGAATTTTGAGTTAGTTTTTGCAGAATATTGAATTTTCTTGGTTCTTTGAGCTTTAGAATTGAGAAATTTTTTGTATCAATCAAGTTTTCCCTTTGATTGTGGCCGTGACTCGCTATGACCCAACTCCTAACAATGGCCAAGTGTAACCAATGAAAGGGACTGCAGTATAGTGGCATTAGTAATAATATCGAATCCACGGGTCTCTAGAGTTACTATTACTCAGCTTTATTTCATTATCTAGCAAACCAGATTAATGATTGATTTACTAAACTACTCTACTAACTAAACTAAGGCTAAACTACTAATTACAGGTTGGGAACTCACTCGAGTATGATTCACCCTAGCTCCTCAATTATGTCCAAGTTATAATTCCTTTTGGTTGCTTTACTATTGATTAAACTGCGAAAGATCCGAAAATAGCTTGGAAACTCTTAAGCTGACCAAGCCCTCTTAGACAGAATACCTGACAGGCGACTAGCCTTCACCGGGATAGAATTCTAAGGCGATTCACACAGATCTCCACTACTTGGAACGAATTTCGGTACAAAGCAGTGAATTGACTGACTCTCGTTTAAATCATAGGTTAAAGCAGAAATCAATAGAATGTGATCAACATCCAATTGACTCAACAAAACATGCCTCAATTGATTATAATCAAACAATATAGCATCCAAAGATTCAAACAACCAAGATCGTAACACATGGAACTAGAATTCCTCAAAACCTAAGTGAAGGGAAGTTGCTCCATAGAGAAGAGAGAGAATGTAGAAATCTGATCTAGATCTTCAATCTCCATCTTCAAGCTTGATTCCCGAGCTCCAATGGCGAAGAAATCCTCCAAAATAGCTCCAAGAATGTTCCCAAGTCACTCTCTCTCTCTAGGGTTCGTCCCTTGGGTGTTTGGGAACCAAAATCCAGCTCTCCCTCTCAAAAATCGTAGAAAACAGACATATACCCGAGCAGGGAGCAAAAACATGGTCGTGTTTTGCAGCCCGTATTTTAGCCCTGCCCGTGTTTCTTCTTGACGAAAATATGGGCACGGGAGTAAAAAATACGATCGTATTTCTCCTGACCGTATTTCTTCCTCCACTCTTGTTTAATGCTTCGTTTCTCCCTCATCCAGACTCCGAATCAGTCGTCGTTTTATCTCAGACGCTTGTAGTCTCGTCCTCTTTCTTTTCATAAAAAGATTCCATGATTATTTTTCCATAGTATTAGGTAGAAATCCATTCTTCCTCGGGTCATGCTCAAGTTTCTTCTCATGAATTGCCAAATGATCTCCGATTGACTTGAAACTTGAGCCTATGCTTCACTTTACGTGCTAGGACATGAAATGTGACAAAGGAACACAAAATAGCTTAAAATAAGCCAACTTATGATAAAAACCAAGCTAAACAATCAAGGAATGAGGGGTAAAAACATGTACAAATACAATGTTATCAGGTCGAGATTCTATCTTTTATATTGTTAAAGTCTTCTCCAATCTTGTGTTGAGATTGCACTTTCAATTTCCATCCTATCTCAAACAAACAAAAATCCTAAAAATCTATTTTCTTGTTTGTTCTTGAAGATGCGTTATTTTGATAACTACGAGTACCAGATCCGTGCTCGTATCAAGTCCTCAAGCTTCACACGAACATGGTTGTCACTGGTTCATTCACTGGTTCTATTGATGCTTTTTTTAGTTAATGTGAGTTCCTTCATCTGATGACACAAGAGGGGATGAACTTCCTCATTTCCTTGGGCAGCTTTCAATGGCTTCATTAATGGTTGCGTGGACTAGTTCTTTGACTTCACTGCTAGTGTGGCAAAATACTCTTTGCATTGAGCTCCCGTCATTATAGTGAAATCACCATGGGCAGATTAATTTACCATCATTGTGGTATCTCCATCTAATAATTTGGGGAAATACTTAGCAACTCGATCTGGTGTAAATCTGTGATGGAGGCATGCATTGAGATGCTCTTTAAATCTCCAACAAGCTTTATAGCATGTTTTTCCTTCCTTCTGCGGGAAGTGTGTGATTTCATCTTTCAGATCCTATGTCTTCCTAGTAAAATTCTTTAATGAAAGCTTGTGCTAGGGTCTCCCATGTGGTGAAGGTGTCTGTTTGATGGTAATCTAACAACTGCTTTGCCTTTCCTATGAGTGAGAAAGGAAAAAGTTGTAGTCGGATTGCATTTCTAGTACCTTCATTTCCTGGAAGGTAATTGACAATATCCTAAAAGATCTTTAAATATTGCACTATATCATCAATTCCTTCATACAAATCTCTCTGATTGTTGCACCATTTGGATCAATTGAGTATGAATCTCGATGTTTGTTGGTAGTGCAACAATGCTTGATGTGATATTTGAGGCTTTGGGTCACGAATACTCATATAGAGTAGTTAAGATGACTACTCTTTGCTCTTCTACCATCCTTGATGATATAGAAGGGTATATGCAAGACGTTTCTTCTCCTAGATTGAAGCTACAGTTTTCATCAATGTTCTCCTTCCAACTAGAGTTGAACTCTTGATGGATAGGGCTCGAAATATCCTCCTCTTCTGAGCTAGATTCTCCTTCCTTTGAGATCAACAAGGGTTAACTAGATGCTCCTCCTTCTTTGATTATCTCCTCCACAATCTTTTTATTTTCAACTTCTCTTCTAGTAAGGACTGGACTCATACGACAACCTGCAAAATAAATTAAAACTAAAACTAATAAAGAGACATAAGATGGTTAGATGTTTTGATATATGATTAGAAATCCCTGGAAACAACGCCAAAAACATGATGTGTAGTAAAGCAAGTAATAAAATCCTATATAAATTAGGGTCATATTCCACAAGGTCTTCTACTGCATAACTACTCGCGTACAACTACTCATGCTCGACAAAAAGCAATAAAAGATAGATTTTTTAAGGTGATTTTCGAGTTATCTAGCTAAGAAAGTAAATCAAATCACAAAAGTAAAGATATGTAATTGAATAGGAAGCTTACTTGAAATAAACATACATTTCAATTCTCATTCATATCATGCATCAATGCATCATCTATTGTATCACTTTATCCCTTCTACTAGAGCATTCCTAACCAAGCTTTCACCATATGCAAGAGAAGCAATAATTAGCTAATGTGTGATTTCGCTTCATGCCATCAACTAATCAATTAAGAACAGAGAAGTAAGGATAACACTTAGTTAAGTGTAGGCCTCTTGAGCCATACCATAAGGTCTATAGAATTGATGATCTAGCAATCAAGCATTGATCATATACTTTCATGGATGAGTGATCAATCCTCCAGTACACGCATATGGCAATTGGATACCACAAAAAGTAGTTTTATAACATTCTAGATGATATTGTAGAAAATGAAAAATAGTTGTATACAATTGAATCACACGCATTAGATCACATAAGCATCGAATACATATACATACACAAAACATAGCATAGTAGAGGCATTCGAAATTCTCAAGCATCATACGATATCATGGACTGAAATAGTCATATTTTAACGAATTCACATTTCTTACCCAATCGATTCGAACTAGATATACATAAAAGAGAAGGAGGATACCATCATCAGTGATAACGACATCTCCTTGACTGCGCCTCTCCTAAGGATTCTAAGTTCTCACTCGAACATAGTGTTTATAGGAGGATAATGTGAATTTTTGCAGTATACATAAAACTAAAGCCTAGCTCTTTATCTATAGGGAAGGAATCCTAGGACTTTTCCTATTCCAAATCAGTTTAGGTGTCCTCCTCCACCTCAACAAGGATTATCTAACTTGGGGATGAAGTAAAATCTTATGTAAGCTTCTTTAGGCTTAGACGCCAAGCGGCAACCCAGCGGCGACACCCATGATCGTTACTTTCCTCTAGGACTAGGTTTCTTGTGGGTCAAGTAACGGCTCCTGACACTCTACGGCTTACTTGATCTACTTCGAGCTTGCAGCTGATAGACCCGACTTGCGGCTGACTTTCCTCTTGGACTAGGTTTCCTCTTGATCTACTTCAAAATTCAATAAAATGTTGTAACTCCTTATACAAATCTCATATCGACAAAGTATGAGAGAGATCCAGATTCATAAGAAAGATTTTAACCTTAACTGATAAGATGTATTACGGAGCAAAATAAAAGAATTCTGAAGTTAAAAGTGGTCACTATCAAGCAATGCAAGAATTAGTGACCTCACTAACGTTGATATGCACCCAAGACAAAAACCGTGTGGATATAGATGCAAAGCAGACACTATCTTGAACGGAATAAGTTTCGGACGCTAAAAAAGCACACCAGTTGTGCATAACGAGTTGGGACGAGATGTAAACAAGAATCAAATGGAGTTGCTGTTTTTCTTTAATGCCAAAAATAACACTACGACCAAACTAAAATTAACAGAGGCGGAGCACGCCGGAAGGCAAAAGGCATTATCATTCATAATCATTATGCCGATGGAGGAAGGAATCCGCTAAACCTGCCCGTATACAAGTTTTTTACACTTGCACCACAATTCTAATGCTGCTCAAGCAAAAGACGGATCTGACTGCCGATTTCAGCCACACGTCTGTCTCAACTTTTCACCCGAAAAGCTTAAAAGTGACGCCGGCCAACCATAGTTAAATCTCTCAACAATGAGTGAGGTCTCTTGTTCATATCCGTATAATGACATTTCGATAATGATTGAAGACCTGACTAAGGAGCGGCAATCAGTGAGACTATGTGCTTCTCTACTTGCTCCCAGTTATATACTTTGGTGACTAAGGGATGTTGCTCCACAGAATCTGACTTGCACCAAGGATAGGAGTTCTCATAATCAAAAAGCAAAACCCTAATCCCAGCTTCTGCGCACTCCATTGCATACCTTGGGTTGTCATCAATCAGAAGTTCTGCACCTAAAGATCTACAGCACAAGTAGGATTGTCATGATATCTGACTTTGGTTTTAGACTAAGCCTTCAGAAATAAAAAAGGGGAATGCATACCTGCATATTTCCGACTTGGGTTTAGACTCTCCTTGCAACGCAAAGTGATTCCCAAAGTGAATCTCATGAAACAGTCCTGGATAGTGCTTATCTAGCCAATCAACAGTGTGATCCTTGATGACGTTTTGGCGAGACCTGTTCATGGATGGATTCATATAATAATACGAAACGAAGTAGTTACTAGATTATTAATGCTGTAAGAGAGAAGAAATTAAGTGCATGCCAGGAATACATACGTCACAACGGATAATTTACAGAGGCTTGACAGCTTATGAAGCACCTGCTGTGCCCCAGGAAGGGGATAGATCCCGTTCTTGAAATAAGTCGTCTTGAAGAATTCATGAACACGAATATCAGCTGGCAAAAAAGCAAGCAAGTAATAACATGAACCAATTCTCTAGTTTTAAGGTTAACAAATACCCACTTTCAAATTGCAGAATGGAAATCATCCAACATTATTCTCTGATGTCCAGTGCGAATATTATAATGGAAGCATCCAACATTAAGGAACTCACAGACCGAAACTAGGAACACGGTCGGCATAACTTGTAAATAAAATGTTTAGAAGTTTCAAATCAGAATGCTAATGAGAAAGTTTTACTCAGCTATTTGGGGGAAAATCCTCCTCATAAAGATCACTGTATGTATTTAAAGAAGTACAGTTCAGACTTTAGGATAGCAATTCAGATTATATTAGAGAATATTACCATATGAGTAGGATATAACAATAGAACTCTATACAGCAAAACTACAAGGCCATCATTATCGTAGGAAGGAATAGTTATAAAAGATATACATGCTATATGCCTCAGTTGTTCTATCCAACTTGCGATAAACAATAGACGTTAACTTTCCAAGCCTAGAAAGCATCAACGTTGGTGCTTAGATATTGATGTTTTCTGAAGCAAACCTCTACATACTTCAGTTTCTTACCTTCATCTCTTGAGCAGTTCCATATCTGTAAATAGAGGAAGGCACATAGATGTCAGATTCTACATTACAAACTCATTTGCTCATAGCAACAAAACGTGTTTCATTTGAAGGGGAAGACATTGAGAACATAATATGAATCACTTTTATCCGCAACCTGGGGAGGAAACAATAACTCAGCTAATTTTGGCAGCATAACCCAGTTATACAGAGACCGACTAACCAATGCATAATATAGTTCTAGCCCCAATTTCAAAACACATAAAAATGTTGCACAAGATAGAGCATCTTGTAAGCTGAGAGTGATCAGCCACAGCCCTTTGATTTTCAGGCAAACAACACTGAATTTTCATTCTCCAACTTGAATATAGGCCTTCATCACCCAATCTGTTCAACTAAGAAACTTTCCAACTTCCCATGATAACTCAACGATTCAAGCCATATCAATGACTGTTATTCTATTAGTTCCATTCCTCAAGGGTCAAGCTGCACAAGTATACTTTCACAAATAATCAAAACTCTACCTAAAGCAAATACCTTGAAGAATTCGTAGACATGGTATTCTGATACCGAATGATTCATGGAGTAACGATCTGCAATGAATCTGTTCAAGGCTGACACGAAGTTTCCAAGAACTGCTCAAGACCAAATCCAAGAAACGTTCACATAAGTTGAGCCACAAAAGGAAAGGAACAGGTCGAGTTTTCCAAAGAGCAAACTACTGCAGAAATCATCATACCCTCGTCAACATCAACTGCAACAACAACTCTGTTCGTTGCAGAGATTCTGCTGAATCCAAGAGGCTGCCCTCCTTGGCGCACGGTATGACCATTCACCAATCCAGCATTAGTAGCGCTCCTGCCGTTAATTTCTTCAATTGGAGATTTCGAATGTCGCACCGACTGATTAAAAGGGGAAAGTGTACGTGCCCTCTGATCATTCAGAGCCTTCTTTCGGTGATCATGGCAACATTTCAATGTCAATCCCAGGCTGGAAACAGATTTCAAAGACGAGTTGCCGCCGGACAGGACATTATCAGAAAGACTGTCCCCGAGAGCTAAGCGACGACGAGAGAGCTCAACTGAAGGAAGGCTTGGTTGATTCGACAAAGAAGAGACGTTTCTGCAGAAGGGATCGGCACCGCCACGGTTGAGACACGGCATGACGGGAAATCTGTGGCGAGCAGCGATCGAGGAAAGAAGCAAGCCGCTTTGCCTTCTTAACATTATGGGCGGTGGGTTTTGGACTCACATCCCCAGCATCAACACCGAAAAACGGGATCTACGCAGGCATTAATCATCGTTTATGGTCGGACCCTAGAATGACGAAGATGTCGCAAGAAGAAAGCTACCCGCTCAAACGCGACAAGAAGGCTTCGAATCCCAGAAGCACATTTACAAAATATGAGGGCATAATTCTCTCGACTCCTCCATCGGTAAGTACAAAACCGAAGAAGAAGAAAATTGCTCGTCAAACGAGACTTGGGAAATTCTTCGACAGAGAGCTAAACCGGCATCTGGAAGCAGCAAGAGGAAATTGGATAAATTGCCGAAAGAACAGGGAGGACTACGGCGGCGTTCGCGGTGGCTGGAGAGGGAGGGAGGGAGGAGCGGCCACAGGCGGTAATTAACCTTTTTTCTTCCCTTACTTCTTTGTAGATTGTTGCTATTATATTTTCCGGGAAACTATTTATAAAATGAAAATCGGAAAAAGTTTAAATGAAGAAATTGCAGGGTTGGGTGAAAGGAATATTTTTTTGGCAGACAAGACTACAACTATCAGGTTTGTGACAAATATATCTACAATTATTGAAATACACGAAATATTCAAAAATTGGAAGGTTGTGTGACAAATCTATCCACTTCCGTTTGAAACTATAACGGCGTGTCAGACGACGTTAAATCGACTAACGGAATGTTGAATCGATGACATCTCACCTGCCACATAAGCCAAAAAGCAGCCGAACTTTACATGTAGATGCCAAATAAGCTAGTTGAATAAAGGCAAAATACAGTTGTATATCCACAACTATCAGGTTTATGACAAATATATCCACAACTATCGAAATACACGAAATATCCATTTCCGTCCACTCCGTTAACTCCGTCAGTTAACTTGATGACTGGACAGACATTGAATGCTTAGTTGGCGTGTTTCTGACCGCACTGAATGACGTGGATTAAAAGGGATTTTTTTCAAAAAACCCTAAAAACCACAGACGGCGAGACTAAAAATCCAACACAGAAACACGCCCGATAACCACTGTTCCTCCTCCGATCGACGCCTACACCCCCAAATAACCCTACCACAATCCCCAACCATTGCCTCCCTTTTACTCCGACAGCTTCCATGCAGTCGGAGCCATAATGATACCAAGGTTGAATCTCAAACAAAAAAAGTTTGAATCTAACCAAATCGCCAACAGAGAAGACTGCAGCAGCGAGGTCTAACAGATAACAGTGTAAAGTTTGGTTGCTTTTGGCTTATGTGGCAGGTGAGATGGCATCGATTCAACATTCCGTTAGTCAATTTAACGCCGTCTGACACGCCGTTATAGTTTCAGACAAAAGTGGATAGATTTGTCTCACAACCTTCCGATTTTTGGATATTTCGTGTATTTCGATAGTTGTGGATATATTTGTCAAAAATCAGATAGTTGTGAATATACAACTGTATTTTGCCTAATTTTTTTTCTCTTTTAATCCACGTCATTTAGTGGGGTCAAAAACACGCCAACTAAGCATCCACCGTCTGTCTTGTCATCAAGTTAACTAACGGAGTTAACGAAGTGGACGTAAATGGATATTTCGTATATTTCGATAGTTATGGATATATTTGTCACAAACCTGATAGTTGTGGATATACAGCAGTATTTTGCCTCTTTTTTGTGTCCAAAATTTTCGAGAGAAATATTTCAAATGTCACTATATTTTTTTAATTGAGGACGGATATCATTAAACTATAAATAGCGCATCTGATACTATCAAAATTGTTGAAATGTGCATTTCGAGGCTTGTCGCACCCGCTCTAGAGTTTGGAAACGCCCAACAAGCTATCTATTATTCCCGAACTAATATTAATGGGAGCGCGAATTAAATTTTCTGGAGCGTGATCTCCAGAGTGGCAGCCCCATCGCATTCTTTCTTCAGCTCCGTCGGCTGTTCTTGGGGCTCTGTCATCCCCGTTTAAGTCAGACTATCTTACCCGACAACGTCAACGACGTCCTTTCTCCCTCCACCATGTGTTGTGTCGAGTTTAGCCTCCAATTCCCAATGATGATTCAACCTTCTCTAGCGACGACGCACCGCCATTACTACAAGCAGATGACTGCGGATTTCGCTACCCTCCAATTAAATTAAGCTTGCTCAACTATCAGGCCATCCAATTAAGCATATTGTTGTTGTCGATGTTTTGTTTGTTGATTGTTAATAGTAACATAGAAATAATCAAAATAGAACAAGTATCGGGACGAGACAAGATTTACGTGGTTTCCTTGTTCGATTGTGATTGAACAAGACTAGTCTGCGGGAGGGGCATATCTTTCTTATTTCCCTGAGTTCTCAACGTAGCACACTCATTTAAATATAGGTTGTCTCCTAATTAACCCTAGTCTCGAGACATTATATTAAATGGGTCGAGCCCTATAATACAAGGCCTTAAGGCCGAGAGATATAATACTCAACACTCTCTCCCAAATTGATGGGGGTTCTCGTCATCAATTTGCTAGCCAAGAAGGAATGCCGAGTAACAGTGAATCCCTTGGTAAAGAGGTCTTCAATCTGATCTTCAGAAATAATGTAGTCGATGCGAATAGTACCATCATGAACAAGATCATGTCTATAGTGAACATGTACCTCGATGTGCTTTGGGAGATAGTGGAGAACAAGATTAGTATCATTGCGTATGGCACTCGTATTATCAACATATAGCTTCATTGGAGTGGCACACGTGACACCAAGATCCCCTAGTAGACGATGGAGCCACTCAAGCTCCAAAGTGACATCCGACATAGCTAGAACTTTGCATCTGTGGATGATTTAGAGACCCGATCCTGTTTCTTGCACCGCCAAGATATAACAGAAGAACCCAGTCGAATGCACCATCCAGTCGTTGAACGACATGTATCAACACATCCTGCATAATCAGAATCTGAGAAGGCTTGGAGTACAAGAGAGCCATCGGATGGTAAGTACTGACCAACATCATGTGTCCCCTGTAAATATCGAAGAATCCTATGTACGACTGTGAGGTGATCAGTACGCGGAGCGGACATGAACTGACTTACAATCTGCACTTCTTATGCGATATCAGGTCGAGTAGAGGCAAGGTAGATGAGGCTCCCAACGATACTGCGATATTGCTCCCACCGTCCAGTAACAAATCACCGGAGTCCCTCCCCAGCTTCACATTGAGTTCAATATGAGTAGCCACGGGAATGGAGTCACTATGCCTAGTGGCATCCAAGAGGTCGTCAATATATTTTTGTTGGCTAAGAAGAATAACAGATCTAGATTTAGACACCTCAAGCTCCAGATAGTAAGAAAGAGAACCAAGATTCTTGAGATTGAATGACTTATGAAGACCCTACATGAGTGTTGTAATGCCTTCGGAATCGTCACCAGAGACAATCATATCATCAACGTATAGTAACAGAACCACTAGGCCATGAGTAGTTTGAGGAGTGAAGAGAGAATGATCATTCGCACTCTGAATGAATCCCAACCTCAGAATGGTTGACTGAAACTTACAAACAACAGGACGCAACTTTCATGTGATCCAATCTTCGAAAGGTACACCAAAACCCAGATTAATTGAATGACAAAGACCTAACAAAGACTTAAATGTGATAGAAGGTCTCATAACTCTCACATTCCAAGCCCAAATCCTCATTTGGGCAATTGGGGCCACTCATGATTGGCTTCCTCCACCGGTTCTTGAATCTCTTCATTACCACTTTTCTAGCAAGCTCTTTTAATTGGTATTGAATCCATGGAAATATCCTCCAAGTTCTTCATCGATCGCTTACAATCATCAACATCATTCTCATCAGTAACTTTGAGCCTAAAAGTCAGCTTCGTTTGTCCAACCTGATATGCTTTCATCCCCTGGATTTCTCCATCACGAGCCTCAGCATCCCTCTCACCTAGATCTTGAATCACAACACCAATATTCATGTGACAAGGTTGTTCCTCCATAGGGTTTGTCCACCATTATTGTCTTTCCCTTATTTTCGTAGCATATCGACATTGAGAGCCACCCATCTAGCCTTTATTCCACATTGAATCACAGGCATGAGTAGGATTTGGTTACTGGGTAGGATGCTACAAACTTGCATCACCACTCTCCATTCCTCCCTATGAAGCACCATGCCCTCGACTACTACACAGAGAGGTTGAACCACGACCAGCCTATGTAACACAAGCAATCCACATTTGAAAGAGTAGTTGCTTGCCTTCCAACACCTTCAGCAGTCGGCCACTCCTGCATGTTAGGCCTCCCACCTCTATTGTGGACCTGACTCCTCTTTTTGCACATGAACCTGCCTTCCATTATGCGTCGACATCCCTAGCACAATCGGGCACTAGTTGGTAGGATCTTCTTCCTCCCTCACCATCCACTTCTCATACTTCCTCACCACCACCATTACCATACGTATCAAGATTTAAGCAAACATTTTTATGTAATCGCAACAACAAATGTAGTAGCAAGAGTGTCACCTCAGCGAGACGATGTTGTGAAATTTCAGTTGTGAGCTCCATAGCGTATTTTTACTCGCCTATTGAATCTTAATGAAAAATTCTCTCCATACTCCCAAGTCTATCACAATTATAGCAAAACAACGATAGTCTTTCATATACCAGAATTATCGAGAACCTTCCCGTTGTAGAGTTGTTAGCAAATATCTTATACTACAATGGTTTCATAATATTGGCATGCTTTTGATATGTACCAGTATGCATTACGTCCTTACTAGTATGCATTTGCGAGAAACTTATATGCATTTGGTAGTTACTAATAATGCATTCAAGCAATATTAGTATACATAGGATGATTACTAGTGTGTATTTGTTGAAAATAGTGGTGCCTTTATTGGAACCTAGTGTGCATTTTTCTAATAATGGTATACATTAAGAGAATAGAGATATGCATTCACCCGCCATAACTTTGATGCCAATGATATGAAATTAGAAGTCATAAATTAAAATTAAAAAATATACAATTGACGCAAAATTATTTATTATATAATTTCATTTAACTCCTCTTTTCTAGGGTGTTTAGGCTCCGGATTATTCACCACTTCATTATTAAATCTCCCATTAGATTTATCCAATGATGAGATTAAATCATTTGTTTCTTGATAAGTTTGTATTGTTTTATTTTTATTTTAATTCTAAAAATTTTGAAATAATAAAACATATTAAACATGATATACAATCTAATATAATTTTTTTATAACAACAATTTATTTTCAAGAGATCATAGGAAGTACGATACGAGTATATTTATCCAATTATGAGATTAAATCATATTGTTCATGAATAAGTCAGTAAGACGTGATGCAAACATGTTTTTATTTCAAAATCTATCAAAATAAATATTATTTTATAAAGTACAATTAATACATTTTTATAGAAAAAAATAAAAAAAATGAGTTAAAAGAAAGCAAATGTATGATGCATAAGTTTATATAGGTCGGCTAATTTCGACAGGTTATCTTATGCTAACAAAATACAACTTGTTTCATCAGTGTTAACGGGAATAGTGAACTATTGGATGAATGTGTTTATTTTGACAAAAAAGGTTTTAAGAAAAGTGCATAAGGTTTTGCAATGACTTCATTTGGCATGTGGTTGATTCATGTAGGAGTGAAGTTGTATGGGATACAATGCCATTGTAAAAGGAAGAGGGTGTGGTTTGGAAATTGGGAGGGTTAGGTTCTTGAAACTTAGATTGCACAACCATAATGCTTTGGCTACAACTGCAAGAGGGGACTCTGTGGGTAGCTTAGGTAAGCACATATCGATTGAAAGGGGGCTACTATATGGAATTATGCAGGAAGATCTCAAGGGTCTTGGATTTGGCATAGATTGCTCAAACATGAAAGCATTTTCCCAGTATCATTTCAGTGTTGGCCGGAAATGTGTTGTGGACAATGTCCTAATGCTTCAGTTTTCGACAAGGAAGGTATGGATGACAATACGATCACAACATTCATGATTGAGATGGCTGATTTAATCTGGAATAAGTATACTCCCCCATGGTGTTGTGTAATTACTTGGTTAGTGATACTTGGGAGGGTGGTAATGTGAGACAAATTGATTAGATGGGGAAAGCATGTCCCAAATAGATGTGTATTGTGTGTCTCTGGCTCGAAATCGAAGGACCATCTATTTTTTGCTTGTCAAAATACAAGGCTGTGTTTTTTCAAGTTCTCGATCAGGATGTAGTAGACACCGGTGAATGGCTGGCAAATCTGCTATGGAGCATGGTGGTAAGTGATGTATGGAAGGAAAGGTGTAACTGTGTGCATGGCAGCCCTCTGCATCCATCAACAACCCTTGCGGAAATAATTATTACGATAGTGCTATAACAACATAAATAATTCAATGGAAAAAAGTGTACGTACCAATATCACAAGATATGCAAACATGATCTTAAAAATATACAAATCAATAACATAAAACATACTAACCCGATAAAAAATGTATATGACCCAATAATAAAAGAATATACAAACCAACAATACAAAATACACGAACAATATAATAAGTTTATACAAATTAGTATACAAAGTAAACATAATATATGATAAACATATCATAACTGAATAGACAAAATATGCAATCACATTATAAAAGTAGATAAGTATATACTCCATAAAAGTATACAAATATTACAAAGTATACAAATCATATCATAAAGGTTACAAACCAATAATAAAAAGAGTATTCAAACTATATAAAAAAGTATATAAATCATAATGACATTTGTATACAAAGCATACTAACCGTATAAATTATCACTACCCACAATCCAAACCATAGGACTTGCTTTACAAATTAATAATACAAAGTATACAAATTATATCATAAAAGTATATAAATAAGATTGATATTATATACAAAGTATACTAACAGTACAAAATGCAATTACTTACAATACAAACCACATCGTAAAAGTATACAAATTAATATTACATAGTATACAAACCATATCATAAAAATATACAAATCAAACTAACAATGTATATCAAGCATACCAAACAAACTAACAATACAAAATAACACTACTTACACACAAAAAAAAAACTGATAGGACTTGCATTACAAACCAATAGTACGAAGTACACAAACCAAATTATAAAAGTTTACAAATTAAGATTACAAAGTATACAACCACATCATAAAAGTATATAAGTGATAGTTACATTATACACAAAGCATATTGTTTGTGTCTAAATGAGTGTAGGAGTGAGGCACGAGAGATTAGGGTTTCGAGTGAGAGGATGGTTCTTCTATTCCGTGAAGAGATTACACAGGTTCAGGGAGAGAAGATATCTAGAGGGAGAAGTTTTTTTGTCATAGATAGGGTCCATAAAAATTGATCCCCTCACCCGCCGGAGTAAAGGCTCCATTTATAGGCATTACTTTCGGTAGGTGAGCATTAAATGTAAAGTGACTTTTGAACAAGTGGGAGGTATGGGCTCTAACGACGCCCGTCTCGAGACATGAGTCTTCTCTGGTGGTACCAAACCATTATGCACTCTTCTTTTCGCGGATAGTCGTTTATGTCTGCTCCGTGCCTTGGATATTCTCGTCTACGTTGTTTGCTTCCGCGCATCTATTGGCGCGCCAGTACCTGCGTGATTCGAGGCGCGCTAGTACCCACGCCATATCCCCAACAATTGCCCCCCAACAAGGGGTAGTTTGAGACTATCCCCTGTTTCCTTTGTGTGATGGGGCGAGTGAGCAGGTTTGGCTGTGCGTCCGATGAGACTGCACGTTCATTGGATCCCTGCATGTGCATTCAGTGAGATCGCGCGTGCTCAGTCGGTGAGGTGACGCGTGTTCAGTTGGTTATGGGGGGTCTACCGTACCCCAGGTTGGAGTGTCCACATTGCGAGGGATCATTGCGTCCCTGTATGTTTGTTTGGTGAGACCGCACGTGCTTAGTCGGTTGAGGGTTGGAACACTCGCATTCCGTGGGTCTATCCTACACCACAGGGTGTGCGCAGGCTGAGTCGGTGTGCCGCCTATTGCTCTTCCTCCTGTTGTGCTTGTGGTGATGTGGCTCTTTGTCGTTCACTCTTTGCGACGTTTTCTTTTCTATCCACCTGTAACTTTACTCTATGAGCAAATCTTCCCCTCGTCTCCTTCGTTTACGACTCGATTTCTGTTTTCATTTCGTCAATTTAGTTTCACCATGGCTACTTGTAGTTCCTCTACTGAGTACTAGATCATCCTCGATGAAGAAGGTAATCTCCTTTCTCCCTCATCTCTTTCTACCGATCCTTCCTTGGATCTAGATGATTCTGGCGATGGCGGCGGTGTGGTGGTCGGGAGTATGCCAACGAACCCCCCGTACAATGTCAACGTCGGGCGAGACCTCCTTTACCATTCGATCGGAATGGAGGATTTGCAGCGCCGTGCTTATGGCGCGGGCATATCTTCTTCCTTGCCCGCTTCACGTGGAGTGTTAATAATCCGCCGTGACAGAGCAAGCGGATCCCAACCCGCTGGCGGCGGCCCGTATGACTGAGGTGGCGAGCCAACTTGGTGTGGGTTTCCTCGATGCTAGTATGACATTGTGGACTGGGCGAACATGTTCGAGGCAGGCGTTGTCCCCAGTGACAACTTATTACACAACCTGGACCATGTTTCTGTGTACGGGCGAAATAAGGTAGCTAAAATCGTCTGCGGGTTGGGGTTGCTCCCCTTGGAAGTTACGCGGTTGCCACACCTGGTGGTTCGGGATATACTCGGACTACTGGAAGATGGGGTTCAAGTTTCCCCGTGCAGCCGTTATTGTGCGCTCTATTACGGCGCCTCAAGTGTTCTGTTGCGTGCTTCTCTCCTTCTATTATCATACATGTGTATATGCTTCACCTTGTCTATAAAAGGCGCAACATCGAACCTACATACGGCTTGTTTCGGAAGTTTTACAAGATGAAGGAGTCGACTGAGAGAAGCAAGAGTGATTGTTTGTCGTTGAAGTGGCAGACAAGCAGCTTGATGGTTATGTGTATGGATCTCCCAAGCTCGACAAGAACTGGTTCGAGAAGTTCTTCTTCATGAAGTCGGTGCCTGGCGAGTGAATTTGTGGCAGAACCAACTGTCTGGAAGAATGGCAGCGTGAAAGGGCTCGAGTCAAAAGTGACGCATATGATAACTTGGACGCCGAATATGAAAGCTTGCTGGAAGAGAAAATTAATATCTACAAGAAGGGCGTCAGCCTTCTCATTTGACGGAGTTGTTTCAAGATGGTTAGTTGCTCTTTGTTTCTCTTGTATTCTTTATTAATGGCCTTCTTACGATTCATTGTTGTAGGTGTGGACTATTCCACGGTCGGGAGTATGATGACCATGGATGACCTTCCAAAACCTTCTAAGGGGCAGCTCGGGAGTAAGAAGCGGAAAGAAGTGGAGCGTACTACTGCCACGGAGAAGGTCAGTAAAACGGCGCGCGTTGCTGAGCCAGCTGTGGAAACCGCGACAAAACCTCGGGCAAACAAGCCACCACGAGCTGAGAAGATAGCGGTGGGTAGCTCTGCGGGCCCATCTGTGCAACAAACCTTAACCGATATGCCTGGTTTCGAGGCCATTGTCCCGACCCATTATCGTGAAGTGAGACTTCATTCGGGAGTCGCTTCGTCTCTCACCGCAGCGTAAAGCTCGCTCCACGCTGTGGGACCGGTTCTGGCTATTCCTTCGAGGATGGAAAACAACAACCCGCTTCATGATCTAGCTCAGATTCAATTCGCGGTAACTATACTTGTCCTTCACAACTTATGAAGTAATTTCGATGTCTTGGATTTTGAACTGATGACTTGTTTGTTTTATTGTTGAAACCGAAGGGCTTGTTGGCCACTTTCCATGCTCAACAGGAGAGAGCGAGCGAGCGTGCTGCCCTTAAGGCGGAGATGGTCTAGGCTGTGCAACTGGAGGGTAAGGTGGAGGGCACTGAGAATCGCGTTGTAGTTGCGACCCAGAAGGCTAACGAGGCCTTGGGTCAGCTTGGTGTTTTGCAAAGTCAGCTCCACGACAACTTGCAAGCGGAGGGGGAGAAGGCTCGAAATAAGGAGAGGAAGCTATTTGCGCGGAGACGCGAAAGGAGTATGAGGCGGAGTTGAAGAGGTTGGCAGATGAGCATGCTGTCGAAAAGCGCCAACTTGAGGAGCGCCACACGGAGATTCTGAATAACCTTCGTGAAAATGACATTCAAATCCTTAGTAATTAAAACTCTAATTATATATGTCCTAAATTCTCTGATTGGTATAGGCAAAGGCAAAGTGACTAATGGGTTCCCTTAATCACCTTATCTTATCCCTTTGTCATTTCTATTTGCTTCGAGATTATGGCATCTGACAATTAGCTCGACCAAAAATGGTCTTTCTTCATAGTTGCTGAAGCCTCATAGGCGAATCATTATTTGTTAATTAGCACAAAATTAATTTTTAATTTGAAAGTTAAATGTTATATTACTTGTTGGATTTAAGTATGAATGTTTAGATGTTTATGTTATTTGTTAGATTCAAGTATAACCATTTGGATGTTGGTTTTAAATATTGTATATAAATATGATGATTTTTTTATCTTGTGTGGATTGTGTTTAATTTTAATATGAATGTAGATTTTAGAGAGATTATAGCTTATATTACATTTATGCCAATTAGTGTTAATAATTTTTCACTTTCCTACATGTTTTGTTAGAAAATATATGAGTTGACAAAAACCAATTGTTTTATCGGTCTGATCCTATCACTTGTCAAACCAGCATAACAGTATAGACCGATTTGACAACCATGGCTCAAAGTGAGTGAGAGAGAGAGAGCAAAGTAGGCCTATTAATAAAACATATATAAACTAACATAAATCATGTATGAACTAACATAAACCTGTCGAACTATACCACTTATCAAACCGACATAACGGTATAAACCGGTTTGATAAACTGAGAGAGGTGGTAGGACAGAGTGGGTGGGCCTATTAGTAAATTCCCAATGGAAGAACACAAATAATAACCTCCGGTTTTCTCGCCACCTGCGAGGGCCATTGTTCCGAAACAATGGAAAAACCCCACTATAAAACCCCATACGAAAAAAATACAATAAATGGGGAAAAGAGCAAAGGAACAGAGAAGGAAATCTACTGTCCCTGTGTAGCCTTAGAGTTAGAGAGAGAGAGAGAGTGTGTGTGTCTGTGTCTTTTGAGTTTGACTCGTTTGCTCGCTCGGTCGCTCCTCACCTGCACAGTTTACTGCATTCCCTGTTGAACTATACTACTCCTGACATTTGATCCCAATGCGCGTTTTGGGGGAGTGAATGAAGTAGTAGTAGAAGAACAGAAGAAGAAGAAGAAGCAAAGAGTGAAGAAATGCTTTGTTTGAAAGCAGAAGCTTATGACGACCGCGACCTCGATCTCGACCCAACCATCAAGCCCGCCGATGCTTCTTCTAGCAATAATAATAATAATAAGATCAATGCATCTCCCGATGCTTCTTCTACTGGCTTTCTTCTCCCCATCAATTTGTACGTTGCTGCATTTCCTATTTTCTTTTTTCCTTCCTGTATTTCATTTGATCAATGTCAGTTTTAGCTTCAATGCCTTATATGGGTTCCATTTCTTATTGTTTTGTTTCTGGGCAAGTTCATTTTTTGTTTGTATGTGGGAAAGGCTTCGACTTTCTTTTGTTGATTGCTGTTGTTGTGCCTTTGTGCAGTGGAAGTTCCCTCCATAAGTATTTCTGGAAGATGGGTAAAATGTCCACTCGATCTATCTCCTCCGGAGACGGCTCCCCTTCATGTTCAGTCTCCGATTTTGAGGTATTGCCTCTTCTCACACAGTTAAAACACTGGCAAATGTGTGCAGCTAACTAACCCACCAATTGCATTTCTGTTCCTTTTCCCCCTTCTTTTTATGCGCTTTGTTATGGCTGTGGGGCTCCCCTTTAGGAAACTCCAAATTCTTTCCAAACCACGGAAAGGAAAGGAAATGAAATGAGATGGGGTTCTTCCTTTTCAGCTTCTGGCTTGTGGATAACAAACTTTTGTTTGGTCCCCCTTATTACTGTCGTTGTAGACTTACAGCTTTATGGCTCTTCCCAATACTTAACTTTTGTCATGAATCATGATTTCTGTTAGTTTGTCCTCTTTCTAGTTTGTAACGCACTGATGAGATGAAAAAAGACATGGACTTATGAAATGGAAAGTGACATAGCCCCATGCAAACCCTCCTGTCATTTTTGAGGGCCTCTTTCTCAGTTGCTCACTTCCTTCCAGTTATCTATGCCTAGTAGATGATAACACAATTCAATTTAGTTAAAACTTCCAAAGGCAGCCTGTAATTAAGCACTACATCTGCTTCCTAATGTCACGTACAGCATGGGGTATCATGACATCCTTTTCTTTGGTTTCAATTGCAATGGCTTCAACGTTCTTTGCCTGTGATTTTTTTTTCTCAAGTTTGTAACGGCATTCTGTTAATCAAGTGTGTACCATTCAACCAAGACAAACATGTTCACTGCTTAAGTGGAACTTATCAACTAGTTTTCTGAAGTTGTTGGGTTGTCTTGGCCTGCTTCACGGACATCTTTGATCTTAGCTGCTTCATAACAAACCATGCTGATCTGCGACAATCAACCTTTAGTTCTCTATATTGGCACAATGAAGATAGATGAAGAGTTTCAATCAATTTTATGTTCAGGATATTAACTCACAAGAGCGAAAAATCCCCCCGGTGCAAGACATAGATATCTCTGTTTACAAGCATCAGCTTGAGCAAGATGTAAGTCGAGTTGAGATAACATCGTCTTATATATATGCAATTCTTCCCTCCCATTGTTGTTGTAACTACTTGTAACTGAGTTTGCTATTCCCGCTTCTTGAACATCTCAGGTGAAAATGCTGCAGCAGCAGTTGCAAGAAGAGATTGACTTGCGCTTGGCCCTTGCAAATGCTGTTGAACATTCTAACTCATCTTCTGATTCACCTTGTCAACTTCCAGATAAAGTCATTGTCTTTCCATTCTTCTTGAATTTGCTTCTTGTCTCAAGCTTCTTGGTTGATGATGTTGTGCCTTATGTTAGTTTCTCGATCCATTCTCACTTGATTCCTTTTCGTCTACACACCAGGCACAAGAGCTTTTGGATAGCATAGCTATCCTTGAGGATAATGTGACAAACCTTGAACAGAAGTCAGTTGCCTTGCAATATCAACTCAGTCAGGAGAGAAATGAGCGCCGTATTGCTGAGTACCGTTTGAGGCATTTTCCCATTTTAGCGTCCTCCATGTTTGATTCTTCTCAGTCCAACTTACCAGAGATGGTTTGTTTATTTCTGATTATCTTATATTCATTTCCTTTTTTCATTAAATGAATTTGTTACCGTCTCCTACAAGTAATTATTCTCGGTACATTCACCTAGTAGGTTATCTACCCTCAGAAACCATTCTTAGCTCATCAATAAAGTAGCTTGTGTCACCTTTGATTGTGGCATAGTATGATGAATGAATCTGGAAATTGAACAGATCAAAATTTTGCAGATCATTAAACCTGGCAGCAGAGAGAAACTAGAAGGAAAGATGGAGGAGAAGCCTCCATGGTCAGAGTCAGTCAACGAGCCAAACAAGGATTATTTTGTGGAGAAACTATGCCACCGGCCTAACCAGCTTTCAGAGGCCATGGTCTTGTGCATGAGAGACATTTTTCTCTTTTTGGCAGATTCCTCCAAACTCTCTTCTTCAAAGTCCACGGTTGCACCATCTTCACCTTGTGAACAACTACCCCATCCCTCTCTGCCATCATTCTCAGACACCAACAGGGATGATTCCTCAACTAGAAGTCCCATATTAGACAAGGACCAGGTCTCTGGAGTCTCAACAAGATCTTGCAACTTCGACCCATATGGAGTTCCTGGTAAAGTAGAATGGAATGAAGGTATTGGAGCTTACAGCAACGCTGTTGAGGTCTCCTGGTTGTCGGTTGGGAAGAAAGAGCTTGAATATGCTTCCGGCGCTCTCAAACGATTTAGGTTGAGTAATGTGCTTTATTGCATTACTTACAGTTTAAACTATTTGCTAGAATGACTGTGCATGTGATGTCTGCTTTCCTCGTTGAGCTTTGAGAGTTAATTTTACTTGGTTTGCTTGTGTACAGGTTGCTTGTGGAACAGTTGGTTGAAGTTGACCCATCACGCCTTCTTTGCCATGAAAAGCTAGCATTTTGGATCAATGTGTACAATGCATTGATCATGCACGTACGCTCCTTTCACACTTATGCCCTCAATTTTTCCTGTGGCATATTTTAGTCTGCTGATTTTTTCATTTACATACTTTCCTTAGGCCCTCAATTGGGCTGCTACAAACAATGTCCTATGCATGTGAATTACAACTTTTAGTTTCATATCACCATTTCTGATATCGCTCATTCCTTCCCTGAAGTCTCTGTTAAATTATTTACAGGCCTTCTTAGCATACGGAGTTCCAAGAAGTGATATTAAACTATTTTCCTTAATGCAGAAGGTTTATTGTTGTCCCTTCTTATGCTCTGAATGATCTTGTTCTTCCCTTCTGTACTGTTTTTGTTTAAACTAAATCCGGGGAACTGAACTGCTAGCTTTGCAGGCTGCATACACAATTGGGGGAAACTCAATCAGCGCTGCGGATATTGAATACATCATCCTAAAGATGAAGCCTCCAGCACATCGACCTCAAGTAGTAAGTTTTACTTTCATTGGCTTCCCTTACAAAGTTACAATGCATCCAGCTTGTGGGCATAGGATAGAGGAGTTATTAGTACTTTAGTAGTATAATTTTCATTATAAACATGACATGCTGTTACTTTGATACGAAACTCCACGGCGTCTAGTTGCAAATACTACAAAGATGTTAGGTTTGAACTTTGTCGTCAATATCAAGGTGTTAACTTGCTTGTACCCTGGAAAAACATGCCCTTGTGCTAGGGAAAACGTCCTGAATTTGTTTGCCTGTTATGGTATGTTGAGTGGAGTTACATCTTACGCCCATCACTACGACGTGCAGTCGTTTGTCCTTGCTCTTCAAAGGCTGAAAGCAACCGATGAGTTGAGGAAGTTTTCAATCAATCAACCAGAGCCCCTACTGGCTTTTGCTCTAAGTTGTGGGATGTACTCTTCGCCTGCTGTAAGTACTGACTCTGCCCCTATTGTTCCCCTTGCATCCGGAGTTCGGTATTAAAATGAAAAACCATGTCAGGGAAGCATGTGAATAAGAACTTGTATTCTTAACTCTTTACTATGGAGTTTAGCCAAGTTGTGTTTTTTATAGGTGATATAAGTGACCAAATTCAAATCTCTTACAGTGAATGAAACAACTATTTTCTAAAAATATTAAGAATTGTGCGGGGCATAAACAACCAGGGGTGTTTGGTTTGGTGTACTTATAAATCAATGTTGTTAATCTCAATTGCGCATTACTCATCTCGTATGTTATCAGTGAAAATGATGAATGTGCTTGTCTGCATGCTATCACATTTTACTCTCCAAATAAAACCGACCAAACGACATAAATTCAAAGTTGCATTGTGGTGTCAACTGTTTCACAATCACATATAACTATGAGTATGAAGAGATTGGTGAGATCAGACTTGTCTACCGGTCTAGTAAACCTAGCCAAATTTTCTGTGATGATGAATAGGTGCGGATCTACAAGCCCGATAATGTAAATGAAATGCTTCAGACCTCATTGAAGGATTACGCACAAGCATCGACTGGGATAGGCAGCAAGGGCAAGATATTGGTGCCAAAGTTGCTGCATTGTTTCGCAAAAGGAATGGTGGACGATTCACAATTGCCAGAGTGGCTAACTGAGTTGCTCACAGCGGAGCAAGCTGCCATGGTGAAAGACTGCTCATCCAACCGCAAGTGGAAGCTGCTGGGCGCACGAAGCTTCTCCATCTTGCCTTTCGATTCAAGGTTCCGATTTCTCTTCCTGCTATAGTTAGAAGTGTAGAGTGGTAGCAGAGTCAAAGAGATGCTTTACTGTTCCACGAAGGTGTAATATATAGAACACGAGCCCATTGTTGGTACGAGTCCACGCGACGGAAACACATATCTGGATGTCACTTAGTTTTGTACTTTCTTGCCGTCGTAATCTCGAGCTCTGTAAGAACATAATGAGTTCAATACAACAATAAGCGTTCTCTTTGTCTTGGGGTCTCTCTGTTGGGAACAAGAAACTAAAATTCCATCATGTTTAAAGCATAAGAACTCCTCTACTTGACAAACTTGCTATAACAAAATTTAAGGTAGCTACAGATGGAAAAAATTTGGCATGGGATAATGTAACATCAAATGCATTCTACATAACATTGCATAATGAAAATACTTTTGACACGAAAGCAATTCCTGCCCTTCCAGCAGAACCGAAGTAGCAGCAGTCAGCAGTATAGGTTTGTCCTTCACTATGGCAGTAGAGCTTTCAATTGCATCCTGAAAAGATCACCAAGCGCTCCACGAACATCCAACTGAATAGAAGGAAAGCAAGCACAAGGTTAAGTTTCACAGTCTCTTTACATTTATTTCCCAATCCTCTCTTTTCTATGTTTTAGGAAGGAAGTGATTGTTTTAGCAAGTTTTGATGCAAATAAACTAACCCTGCTCGTTAACAGAGAATATATGGCCATACCTGATCACAACAAACAAGCTTTGTCAGCAACGGATAGAACTCTCGTAGATGTCTCTTGAAGATCTGGTGGTTCATGTAGCACATGCCTTTGAGCACCTGAAATATATTTATTTTTCATAGAAATGAAAACAGAGAGACCTCTATGTCAAATAATATGTTCTGTCTCTAGCTTCACGCACATAGTATAGCAGGGGGCATCGTCACCATACCCGAACAATGACGGGTGAGCGTAACTCTAGAACTCGATGAATGTCCATGTTTGTTGGTTCTCCTACACCAGGCTGAAGTTCGGATGCATCTCTCAGTACCTGCTCACAGAATGAAACCAATTTTTCCTCTGCTATCCCTTGAAGCTTCTCTTCCCAACTAGATTGTCCACTGGGACTTGAACCATTTTCTGCCAGTGATTCCACTTTTTGCTCCTTGTTTGTATCTAAATCTGAAGTAGTTTTCTGTAACACGTCTAGGTAAACGCTTGTACCAACCAATTCTTGACGAAGGAGATTAAGAGGAGGCCTGTCCACGCACAAATTATATGAAGACAGTCTAAATTGCAAAGATCGTCATTGAAAATAAGAAAAAGGAAGAAAAAAAGGTGAAAAGATTTCCTTGAGCACCTTTCATCTGGAACATGGTGCATACGCATTCTGAGGGTGGGATATGAATTGTATGAAGCGGCAAACTCTAACATAGATAACAGAACATCCATTATAGCAACCTTCTGTTGTGCCACCAACTTGCTCCAGTACTTCTTCTGCACGGGGGAAAAGGGCAACAGACTTCACTACGTTTGAAAATAAAACTCGCAACCACAAAATGTACAGCACGAATTTAACTATTTCAGGAGAACTGAAAATAGACTATAAATTAGAAAGAACTAGAATTAGGGATAGCCTCAAGTTTAAGATTCCATGCTTGTTGAAGAAGAAAAAAACCTCAAAAGTTGTGAATATCATAAAAACATAAGATCAAACCTACTATACCTGTATACCATCAATAGCTCCAAGAAGCAATAGTTGAGTGATGCACTTGCCCCTAATGGCAGCCATCAGTGGGCTTTCTTCTTCATCTCTGATATCCGACTCCACAGCTTCAGGAACCTAAACCAGCGTATGGATAAGCCAAAAGAAATTACGAAACAGGAGAGGAAAAAGAAGACAACAGGGAGACACAGAAAGAAGGTCTTTGTTATGTCAGCTTTTGAACCTTTCCTATTAGTTCCACTGCTTCACCCCTTACAACTGCTCCGTCTTTTTATATGAGCAAGCAACTACTTATTGGCAACTATATAAAAACACGCACAAAATACTGAAAGGCCAACACTTCGAGAAGCAATGAAGAGAAAAGGAAGAACAACCAAACCTGAATAGGAGAAGATGGTGCAGAGGCATCCGGAGGAGGAGCCCTGGATTTGGAGGTAAGATTTCTGAGGAACAGATTGTCCATCACATTCCCCATAATTTTCTGACCCAAAGTTTGAGTACGCTGCAGGGTCTCAGGCTTATGTGCTCTTCCAGATGGAGATGGAAGACCTACAATAACATAACCAACCATGAGGTGAATTGAGCAGATCTTTTATTTGGATTCTGTTGTACCATAACAGAGCATAAAAAGCTGTCGGATGGAATACTGGCAAGGATCCTAAATTCAACCAGAGTTAAATGCTTTTGATGAGTACAAACATCAAACAACATTTAACATAACAGTCTGTCGGCACAACCAAAATGACACGAGAGGTACTCTAAGTTAACCTAATGGATTAATTTAGAATCAAACCACAACCTCATAAAAGAGATTGTTGCCTCACAAAATTGTCTTTGTCTTTTAGATATCTCGCACCATATTCTCTTAACTCGGTCTATCAAGAGATATGGACAACTCAAGCTCCTTAACTTGCAGAATTCTATAATTTCTGCCCAAATTGAATTGCATAACTGGGTGCCTGAGGCTTCATCTTCACCCTCACCTTCACGCACCTGATTAATTCTCAGATGCAGTAGAACCTATTAATCAATGCAATATCAACATATGAAATGGCAGTCTATAAATATTAATCAAATCATGAAATATGAACAGCAAAAAGACTCTGCATCTATTATACAGAGGGTCATCTGCTGTGGACCACTATTTATTCCATTTAACCCACATATCCATATGGAATCACAACTGAACAGCGATTTTCCATCTGACACAGTAGCAACAATGGGACAATGGGAATTCGAGTGTCCAGAGACCAGATCAACATACATAAACTTAATTCCATTCAATATCATCTTTGAACACTGAATGAACCAAGAACCTAGTTGCCATACACACTAATTTCCCTTGAATGACTACCTTGAGAAGTTAGAAAGCCAAACCATTTGAACTGCAGTTTGGACATAAAATTTTACACGTCCAGAGGCTCATAGTTCGATTATTTTAATGTATGAATTGATATGTATTGGTGGAAAAAATGGGATACTGAAAGTTGGGAGAAACTAACCCTCAGATCCATCAACTTTACTTTGTGAGCCAGGTTCTTGACTATGATTGAGGAGCATGCGTGCATTGACATTACCACCCATACCCTGAGCATCCATCTTCGGTGATGGCAAGGGAGATGTCCTCCCTGTATCACTGGCATCAGGCTGACTGTTACCTGCATCATCTTCCCTGTTAACCTCGGGATCAACTTTCATTGCCGGGCTTCTTGGATTCTCATAACCAACAGCATTCAACAGCTCAAGGGGTTGGGTTGTGTATGAGGCATCCCTAACGCAAGAGATAGAATTGCATATCAACGAGATGAGAAAATATACAAAATAATGGGTTGGCTTACAGAATATTATACACAAACCTTATGCTTTTCAATAATGTATCCCAATCATTTTCACTAAACTGATGGCCTCCAACTTCTATGAGATGCACCAGTGCACCCAAAGAAATGGACACAACAGTTTGATCAGTCTTCTTTGCACAGTCTAGAAGCAAACTCAGAAGTGGTGGAAGCATGAAACAAACCTCCTGCACCAGAGAAGTGGAATGCTACTCAAGAGAGGGGGGCAAAAAAGATAAAATATTTCTACTGCCACCATTCATAAGAAAAAATCTCAGACAAACAATTTCTTGTCCCCTCAGCAAGTTAACGTATTCAAAATGACTTGAAACTTACTATTCCAATTACATTTTCCCATTTACAATGAGATTTCTTTCAATGCACATGAACATCAAGATGCATTACAAAAAAGAACATTTTGCTGTCTCATATAGTAATTTTAAGCTCCCTTATGTAACAGTTGAAATAAAAATTTGATGCATCACGGTTTTACAGCCAAAATAAAGTAGCACTGGCACTTTATCTATCAACCAAAACCCACTGCTCATAAATGTGTGAATGAAATAGAAACATCAAGAATGGCGACCATCTAGTCATCAGAGATTAAGATGCATTCAATTAATGATTTCACCTCATACACAACCGACTCTTAAAATGAAGTAGCCATGTGATTGAAACAAGGCTTTTGGCATTGTCAGCCATGCCTCAAAGCTTGGATAGCAACTAAGAATTAACATCGCTTTTGAATCATTTCCAAATACTTAGGACTATCAGTTCCACGTTTAACAGTCTGGGAAAATATTGGGAGTTCTCAGTGACAATGTCAGCTCGTATAATCTTATCACAAAATTATCATGTTTGCATTCCCAGGTTATACAAGTCTGAAGACTCAAAACTCATCAGTAACTGATATGAGGTCTGACAAACCAGTCTAATAATGAACAGATAACTAGGGAAACTAAGACTTAACAAGTCAAACAAATGGAATACTTAACAGGCAGATGTCTTGAGATCTGCCCCCAACTCCGCATGTTCTCAGTACTATGTTTGTCTTAAATAGTTCATAGACATATATATATCAACAGCTCTTAAGAAATCATCACCTACTCCAAAGGATATTTTTGGTCACTCATGTAACAACTGACAGTAACCATTTCAAACATTATGCACACAGATCCGGAAGCAAAGTGAATAACTGAGAAGAATCTGGGGTACCTTGTAGAAGGTGTTGAAAAGGTTGCACAGCAACTGAAGGGAATGTATACTAGTTTCCCTAAACCATTCGTCTTCTGAGGAGAACAAGCTCTCTTTCCCAGCATGTCTCACGTGGTCGAAAATAGGAAATAAGACACGGTGGAAAATGCTTTCCCAAAATGATGTTGAGAACTTGCTACCCCTCTCATTCAGCAAATCGAAGAGAACTTCTAAAGCACAACTCCTGACTTCAGGTCTTTGATCTGATGTTAAATCAGATAGACCAGCCAGCATGGGAAAC